CAGTGAGCGGGAACCGGTCTCCACATGGGATCCGAACCCTCGGCGGGAGCGCCACCGCATTTCCAAGTGGCGCACTCTCCAGTGTGCCACCGGGCCGGCCCACGACCCCCAGTTTTAATGAAAGAAGTCAGGCAGGGACCTCTCTTTTCTCTGGAAAGGTGTCAATCAATCAACAAATGTTTACTGAAAGTATACTATGTGTTCAGTGCTTTGAAGGTCATCTTGATAATTATAATTAGCTCTGTAAAGTCGCTTCAGGAATAGCACATCCAGACTCACACAAATCTCAGACCACATGAAATGTTATCATTCCAATTATCACCCATTTTGCATTCTTCTGCAGTCCTCACACTGTATTCCCCCTTGAAGTCTTCCCTGCTCTTCACTCTAAACTTATTTATATATGTAGGACAGACACACAGGTCTTCCACCAAACGTGAGGCAAAGAAGAAAACCTGTACTGCTTTGGGAGAAACCCTACCTCCATCAAGATTTCCCTTATTTAATTATCTTAAGTCTCTGCTTAGCAATTTTGAATACGAAATTAACCAGATGAAGGAAATTCAAGGTAAAATCTGTTTTCCAGGGAAAATTTAATTTTCTTTTTATTAATTGCCCATTAGACCCCAGATAAATAAAAGTAAACCCATCCACTTTGACTCCACTTTGACATCTGTCTTTTCGCCTTGCTTCTCCAATGAAAGCTGTCCTTGCTCCTCATTCACAAACCACTTCTTTTTTTTTTGTCTTTTTGTCTTTTTCCGTGTCCGGCAACGGATCTCAACCCTCAGTGTTGCCCCCGTACCGGACCGGGGACCGGCAACGGGATTGCAACCCTCGGAGTCGCTCCCGTGCCTCGCTCAGCCAGTGAGCGGGAACCGGTCTGTATGTGGGATCCGAACCCTCGGGCGGGAGCGCCTCCGCGCTTCCCAAGCGGCGCACTATCCAGTGCGCCACCGGGCCGGCCCCACAAACCACTTCTTATACCCTAGACCGCACTCATTACAAGACCTTTCCACATGTTCAATCTACCTACTTATATTCTTCAGAGGAACANGCACTCATTACAAGACCTTTCCACATGTTCAATCTACCTACTTATATTCTTCAGAGGAACAGCCACATGTGAGGTGTGGCACTTACAGATCTGAAGATCATGTGCAGAGGCATGGCAATGTTGAGGTTCAGCGCGTAGTTGTTCACCACGCTGACAGTGAAGAACATGGTGACCATTATGGCATAGTACCTGAAATGCAGAGACAAGCACACATCACACAGAATCTACCCTTTCAGGAAAACCAAGTATAGAATAAAATATATATTTCTGGTTAAAAAAGGATTTTGCTTATTTCCTCTGCATTCAAATGCTGCATCACTATTATCATATGAAATACTAAGTATATATAAAAATACTTTACAAAGCCAGACTAATGTGAGAAAAGTTTGAATTACAGGATATTTAAAGAAACACTAGTTTAATATTTTTCAAATATGCATATTGACTTAGAACTAGGCTTTAAAAATGTTACCTAACAGTCATCAACAGGTTTTTAAAAGTGAATGAATAACTTTATTATTGTATCAGTTCTTTGTTTATCATTTTCATATACCTCTGAAGATCTTGAAAGTGGTTAATTCTCTCAAATATTTCCTTTAGATACTTGTTTNATACCTCTGAAGATCTTGAAAGTGGTTAATTCTCTCAAATATTTCCTTTAGATACTTGTTTATGCTATTGCTTTTCACTATTTCTAAAAAAAAAACATTTACTAAGTCAAGAATTACTTTTAGCCTAGCAACTGTTAAAATTATCCCACGTTCTGAACCAAATTAATGAGGACATGATTTGACTTGTATAGATTTGTATTTAAAATTAGGGTCCCTGTTTTTTGAGCATTAACAGTTCATAATATAAAAATAAAAACAAAAAAGAAAAAATCCAGTAACCCTAATAACTTAGAAAAATAAAAGGATACATACAAATGAACAACTACGAACCAATGCTATAAATGAATTAAATAAATATTTTACATATGTATGTCCCCATTTTGATCTGGAAAATTCTTAAGATGCCTTTCATACATATTAATTTAAACCATATAAAACTGCCATTTTTTTTAAAGGTCAAAAAGGGTTAAATATCAGCAATTTCATGATTCAACCTACTATATTCAATAAGAGAAAAAAAATAATTAAAATGAATGATTAAAGAATGCAGGTAAAGGAAAATAAGGAAATGTTGATCTTTGAACAAAGATTTCCAACCATTTTCCACTTTTGCACATTTGAAGAATATGACAACACTGAATCCCAAGTTACCTTCCCTGATAAGAACCTATTCTATGATGTTGGTTAGATATAGAGCCATAGGTCACAACAGGCAGCCAAGCCAAGTCTAAATGAACACAGTCTGGAAAGTTTGAGGATCTTGATAATGAATGAAGAACACTGTATTGCATACGTGCAAAATTACTAGCAACAGCTTCTTCACAACTTCTAAATAATATACTATTGGCAACTTCACAAGATTTCTTGCCAAATTTTCTCAGTCTTATCTTGAGGAGATGCCATTTGGAGATAAAGAGAGTTTGTCAAGGTCTTTCCACATTGCTGCCTACATAGCACTGCCTAGATCGCTTACGGGGACGCAGGACGTGAGCAGGATTTTGATTATGGCTTCATATAGAGAAAGTAAAATGGCCACCACAAATAGGACACAGATGAGAGTATGGTTGTCAGGGCAAGATCACGGGGAGCTTCATTCTGAACATCTTGGTAACCACTGAGAGGGGGTGCCATGATAAAACGGTAGAAGTTGAAACAGAGGGATGAAGAGGTACGTGGGAAGAAGGGAGGTCAGCCAGCTAGAACACTGTTATGAAGGTTATGGTGACAGTGAGTATGTTCCTGAACTCTGCAAGGGGCGGATGGAGTGGGAAGAGATAGAGGGAGGAGGTGGGAAAGGGCCAGAAGAGTCCAAAAATGCTGGTCTTCAGGAGCAGAAAGTTTTATGCAGCAGCTAAAGCCAATGAAAAACAAACAAGAAAGTATTCAGAATACTTAGCATAGCATAGGAAATGAAAAAGTACAATGTCAATAACAAAATTGGGCCAGATTTTCTATAGAAGGCTATTCACGAATGCTATGTTAATAACAAAATTGGGACAGATTTTCTATAGCAGGCTATTCACGAATGCTGCAAAAGAGCACCCATGAGCATGAGTGGTGACTTCAGCACCTGGATGCATTTACACCGGAGTGTCACTCTCAAAGGGAGGGATACCATCTTACCAAACATTCATCACTGGATGGTCACCTCAAGTCTCCACAGCAAGAATGCTGAGTTTTCAACACATTGTCTATTATAAGAACTGCCCTGTTTTCTCTCTGTCCCCATGAGTACAGTTATGCCAATCTGGACTAATGGACAGATCTGGTACCAACAATTTTGACTTAGCTTGCCATTCATTTTCTTTTAATTGAAGTGAATTTCACAGAACACAAAATTAACCTTTTGAAAGTGAACACTTTGGTGGCATTTATTACACTCACAATGTTGCGTAACGACCACCTCTATTTATTTCCAAAAGCCATTCCTTTTTTAAAGGAACAGTGATACTGCTCTTAGCATATTTGATGCTAACTTTACCAACACAGAGGACAGCATACATAACTATTAAAAATCTCTGGTCACACTAGGCCTTCTGACTGACCTTACACTAATATATGTGTGTATACACACACACACACACACACACACAAGGGGTCTTCAAAAAGTTCATGGAAAGATTCGTACTATCTTTTAATTCCATTTTTCCACGAACTGTTTGAAGTATCCTCGCATATACTCTATTGTCTCCACCACGGTTATTTCAAATAGTGTGGTGGAAATTTTATTCTTAAAATAGGCTCCCTAGAGTTTTACAACATATTAAATTCAGAAAATGAATTATTATTCTACTGATATCTTTGATATAAATCTTGTAAAAGGATATCTCATACTCCTTGTTTACAGGTACCACCTCTGAACTTTTTCATAAAAACAAAAGCTAAAAGAGATTTCAATATGCCATACCTTATTGGAATAGCTGGTGGCTTCCTTCCCAAATCGGCTTCAAAGAGGAAGCCTTCCACAGCAATAAATAAAAATTGTGCAAATGTCACAATGTTGCCACATCCTGGATGCTTCCTGTATAGTAAATAACAAAAAGAAAAAAAAACTGAGATAGAGGGCAGTAAAAAGTGTTGCTTTCTTATTTCACTCTTCCCTAGGGGCAACAGGCCACGAGTGAGAATTACTATAACACCCTCATTCTCAGAATTACGACACAGCTTTCCTAGCAAACTGTAGGAAATTGGTCTATGTTCTTATTGGGATCCTCACTTAACCAGAAGGCCTTTAGTCAGGATCCTAGTCAGCTTAGGTAGCAAAGCCCAAGAAGCAAAGTATGCTCAGGGCTCCTGGAATGTTTATATATCTCTCCCGACCAGGAATCACCAAGATTGCTATCCAACGAAGAAATGTGCCCAGCGATGAAGACAGGGACATAATCTTAGCACCCCAAGGAGGCAAACACTGGTTCTTGGAATGAGGGGAAATCTTACTTATTTATAAGTATAAAACACAGATATACATGCAGTACATTAACCAGTGTATAGTCGTTCCTCGGTATTCATGGGGGATTGGTTCCAGGACCTCCCGTAGATAACAAAATCCCAGGATGCTCAAGTTCTTGATATAAAATGACATAGTATTTGCATATAACCGACACACATATTCCTGTATACTTTAAATCATCTCTAGGTTACTTATAATACCTAACGCAATGGAAATGCTAAGCAAATAGCTGCTATACAGCACTGGTTAGGGAATAATAACAAGAAAAAAAAATGTCTGCACATGTTCAGTACAGACACAATTTTCTTTTCCGAATATTTTTGATCCATAGTTGAATCCACAAATACGGAACCCATGAATGGGGAGGGTCAACTGTATAGTACATCTATGGAGGAGTAATTAAAAAAAAATGTCTAAAAAGGGTTCTGAGGGGTGCGGACAATAATGAAGAAAAGATGGAGAAACACTGCTTGTAGTCCACTATCCACAATCCTTCACAAGGTGTTTCAAATATATTAGGCACTCAAGAAATGTTTGTGGAACTCAATTGATCCTCTTCAGTGATCCTATGTAATGGTTGAGGAATCTTCCATAGTGACTATTCGGGAACAAACTTACAAAGTAGAAAAATTCCTGACATCTCTCTTGAGGCATGCTGTGAAAATTAGTCACTTAAAATGTTTATGGTTTTCTTGAGCTTGTTCTCCATTCGGCTCTGTTCAATCACCGCAAAAAGTACAAAGTGAGNCTCTTTTTGAAGGTTTCCTTGATAACTACTGCTTTATATTCAATTCAACAATTTTTCCTTTAGCACTTCTTATGTTCAAGGGACAAAGCTAAATGTTGCAGGAATCCATAAATAATCATGTAAGACATTCACCTCATTCAGGGAGCTAATTAAAACTGTTAGCCTAAATATGAATGACAAGAGAAGGAACTTTAACTCTAGATGGTTCCTAGTACAGTGCTTTTCAACTCTAGCCAGGCTGCTCTTTTAAAAACCCATATGCCTGAAGAGACTCATGCTCCTAGATCTGAGTTGATAAGTCTAGGGTAGGGCCCTGGCACCTTTCCATTTGATTCTAATGTGCAGAGTTGGGAACCACCAGTCTAGGTCTGGGGAAAGGGCTGGGAGTGTTTGTATGTGTGTGTGCGTATGTGCATGTGTAAGAGGAACTGGTAATTCTCATGTGCTGACACAGGGATGGGAATCACTGCACTCCACAGTGGTTAAAAGTACACAATGACATGCAAGATCTCACT